TTGTCTGTGTGGGGCCGTTACTGCTTCTGGCAAGCTGTTGCTATACTGACAGTTGGCTGTCAGAGAAAGTTAAATAAGTTTGCTTATGATTTTGAAACATTTTCTCCAGCTTAAGTGGTAAACATAAAATGACTTGATATCCTGCCCCTGCTGTGCAATGCTTTCATGGAAGCACATCACTGAAAGTGGGAGGAAAAAAAGGCTTGTCTGTCACTTGCAAGACGGTGGAGAATCAATGGCGAGAGCAGAGGAACAAAGCTTGTCTGCACTCACTGCCAGTTTTCTGTTTTGGTGATGTGTATATTGTGGGAGTGACTTCAACTGGACAGTTGCCCTTTACTGTAAAAAAAGACCAAAGACCATGTAAGCACCCACCTGCACAAAGTGGCTTTGATGCCTTAAGCAGAGATACTTGAAGATGTGCCTGACGTGTCACGTTGTCAGTGAATAATCTCGAATGACACATTTGTCCAGAGTATTTTGAAGTTGGCCATACGGACCACCACAGAGGGGGTTGTAAATGTAAGTAGGAAGGAAGGGAGGTAATTTGAAGGAGAAGTGCTGGTGTTTGGAGCTGTATGTTACTGACCAGTAGTGATTGACTTTTCTCCTGATTTCAGTGTCCGTGTTACTCAGACTGTGCCCACAGCAGTCCCAGTCTCCCCGCTGGATGGCTCAGAGAGAGCGGGGACGGCTCCCTCTCCCACCGATGGCAGGGAGCATGGGGAGAGGCAGTTGCAAGCTGCTGAGAGCGTAATTTGCTGTTAGGCTACGTGGCATCCTGTCTGCCGTCGGTTACAGCCTCGGCTGGGAATAAAAGGGAATGAAAGGGACTTAACATCCAAGCCGTCGCCTGCTGGTGAGGAGGGGCTGTGGATGCATTTTGAAGGGAAAGAAAGTGAGGGAAGTATCATGCTGAAAGGTTGCAGATGGGAAAAGAGGGAAGCTACTTTTAAAAAAACCACACTCAGGAATGTGTTTGTTACCTGCAAAGTTTTGTGCTATCAAACTGTGAGTTAAACAGCTTTTTCTAGAGTTTTGTCTGCTGAAAAAGAGAATTGTACTTAGGTGAGGAGGGGAAAAACTGATGCATAAGCAGGCAGAATTCATCTGGCTGTACAGCTGATGTCAAAGCAGTAACCCGGTGTCGGAGCGGGAGCAGAGGCTCAGAGCTGTTTCTCACAACCTCAGTCCTGCGGTTCAGGAGGACGGGGTGGTTCTGAGCTCTGCTCCTCTGGTTGGAGAGTGTGACCAGCTCTCCTCTCCTCTCCCTGCTCCCAGCTTACGCCGCAGAGCTGCTCCCTCGGAGGGGGAAGGACCCTCCTTACCTGACCTGCACTGCGTTTGCTGGTTTTGCCTTTCCTGGCTGCTGCTTCCACATGCTGAGTTCATGCTGGAAGTAATACAGCTAAATTGCTTCCTCCAGCTTCTCGCTCTCAATTGACTCTTCCCCACGGGGAGCTTTAAATGGTGCCCACAAGGCAGCGCAGAGCTTGAAATCCCCGTTAACCCCGGTATTTCGAAAACAATCAAGGCAAACAGAACTCTGATCTCTGCTTTAGGAAATGATGCACAGTTGTAACAAGTCATTACTCTAAAAAGAAGAAATGAGCCTTCATACAGTATGTGTTAACCTTCACTAACTAAAACGCATTCTTTTCCAGCTCTTTTATGTGCTTGGTAGTGCATGAGGAAAGGCCTTTTTTTTTCTCCAAGTGTAACTGGTACAATGCTGCAGTGTCTTTTCAAGAGAGCTAAACTGAGAAAACATTAAAAAAATCCACATTTTTTACTTTTCTGTGATAACCTAGTTAGTTTGTGGAGGATAAGAGGATTTGTGGAAGAAAAGAGGAACCAGCCTTAGCCTGTGAGTGCTTGAAACTGTCAGGCAATCAGCTGCCATCCTTTACCTTCAGGCACTGTAGGTCTTTGCCCTCCAGGATTTGCTCCCAGCAGCAGACTCCAGCTGTGCTCCCAGGTGAATTAGAGCTCTGAATTTATGGAGTTGTCCACTAATCCTTTCACTGGCACTTTGAATCAAGGCATCTGGAAGATGGTAGTGCATTTCTTATCACAGTATGCTGCTTATCACTGATGGTAAATATCTCCTGAGCTGTCTAATCATCACAAAAATTGCGCTTGGTGTTAGCTGGAGTCTTGTTACTCGCTCAGATACTCTGACACCAAGCTCTTCTGCTGTTTATTTTACCCTATCCATGGCATAAAATGGAGGCTGAGATGGACTCCTTGTCTGGAAGGAGGTCACAGAAGTTGGTGGGCAGAGCCAGGTACCTTCCTCCCTCCATGTCTCTGAGCAGCGTGGGGCACTACAGGCAACAAAAAGCCTCTGGTTTGTACGTGCAACACATCCCCACTGGCCTTCTGTTTCTTTCCTGGTCAGTGCAGTATGTATTTAAGCAGTTATTGTGGTAACTCATTTTATCCTACCGAAACATTGGTTAGCAGCCACTTTTCAGATCAGCTTTGCAAATACAGCGCAGAGCATGCAGAGTGCCTGCTGAGCAGCCAGAGCAGCAGTTAGTGTCACGGGAGAAAAACAAACAAACCTGGATGATGACTGGAAACATTACCATGGGAAAAAGATGTCCTACTGTTGCCATAAAGCAAGGTCATGGGAAAAAAGCAAACACCTAGAAACATTTCTCTCCCTTACCCCCCTGAAAAAAAGGTTTTGAATAATTTGTCTCCTTTCAAAGTTACAGAAGTCTCCCAAAGATAAAAATCTGTGGTTTCTGAAGTGCAGCAGCATGGCCCTGTGGCAATTGCACCCATGTGGAATCAAAAACTGCTACAAAACTGCTTTACAGGTAGAGCTGCAAGCTGGTATCTGAAAAATAAGTAACCTATTTAAATGTATAAAGGAAAACAAGCGAGCTCAACCATGAAGTAGTTCTCAGCTGAAATGTCATGAGCAGCATCATTTACATTCAGCCTCCCCTTGAACCCGACGGAGCGCTGTGTTAAGCTCTTTCACTGACCCAGGGATGGACAGACTGACAGGCTCTTTGTTGCAGGGTCAAGTTAGGGAATTCCAGAGCTAAGGTTGTCTGTGCAGCCTTCCTCTCTGCTCCCTGCGCGGATGTGCCACAATACGGGCTTTAATTCCATAATCCCTTGGTCATTTTCCACTGGCGCCCTGCCTCCCTCAGTGTGGAGGAGGCATAATGCCGCCTTAATGAGCAGACAAGCAGCGGCTTGGCTTGTCGTTATTTGGTCTGTGACCGTGAACCTCATTCAAGTCCCACTCTCCGAGTCCTACTCCAAAAACGCAGTGTTTTGTTTTCAGCTGTTTTACAGCTTGTCCCACAGAAGTCTCGCAGCCCCTCACCGGCACAACCCTTGCCCCCTGCAGAGGGTGTTCAGCGGTTCGTTACCCTCGTTTCGCAGATGGCGGCCAGAAACGGCGAGCGTGTAGCACCTAGCACCTCCCGATTCTTGCCGCCCCGTGCCTGCCCATGGCGCTGGAGACAGCCCTGAGGCGGGCCGATGCGGTTGTGGGCGCCCTGCGCCTCAGTGGGCCAAGCCCTGCTGCCTCCGCTCGGCTGTCCGGAGAGCCGGGACAGGGACAGTGGATGTGGCCCCTGCTGGCCATGGCCCCGTGGTGTCTGGCGACGGCTGTGCCAGGCCAAGCTCTGGCTGTACGGGAGGGGTGCTCACAGCACAACCCCTGCCCTGCAAGCCAGGGCCCCAGCCCGCAGGGACGCGGCAAGGCATGGCGCGGCTTGGGAGCGCGGTTGCCTGGGCAGTGCTTTGACATCGCCTGCCTGAATGTCTCTCCTGTACCTGCACAGGTGCCTTTTCTGACACCACCACGACACTTAGGATAGGCTGCCGGAGAGAATCTGTTTAGTTTTTTTTTTTTTTTACTGTTCTTGACTCTAAGTAAAGTCTTCAGTTTTTCACTTCAAAGACTTCTTGAGCGTGAGCAGATGGGCAGGAGCAGCGGCTCAGGTGGAACCGGCACAGGCAACCCCTGCTCTCATGGCAGGGACTTTCCCCTCTTCGGCTCTGGGAAACACAGGCCCTTGAGCTCCGCAGTTTGTGACCACTGCTGCGGCCATCGTTTTCTACCGGGTGTGAAATTGTGATGAAATGCTCTTTTTTTATTAAAGCATACAACTCCCCTCCCCCAGCTACTCACCAAGCAAAGTCAACCCGCAGTTGTGCTGGGCTGTGAGAAGTTGGGTTGCTGAATATCTGACTACAAAAGTAAATAATTGTCTAAAACTAAAACAGGACACTTGTCTAGTAGATGTATTTTTCCTTTCAAGCATCTTCACAGCTTCTTTCCTGCTATCTCTTTTTCTTTGGAGGAGCTGTCCTTAAACCCCTGCAGATTCTTTGCATTGTTCTCTTTTGATTTGGTCCTCCTCGCTCAGCATCCATAGGTGCCTGCAAAAGCTTCAGACGGCAGCTTCGCCGTGCGTGGCTGGTGACCTGAGCTGCTCGTAGCATTCATTTTGCTTTGGCCTTCTCTTGCGCGTGTGGTGCACGTAGCGTCTGGCACATGGGGACCCAGCTCTACTGTGGTGCAATGATCACTGTTAGTGTGTTTTGTTCTGCTGCAGGATTTTGCGATGGAGAAATAAGGAACAGTAATGCCTTAGTGTCTTTGTTTAGTTAGGTGAGTTTCTTTTTTCCATAGCTTTGATGCCACCACAAGATTTGTGAAGGAACAGTAACATGCTTTGGTTGTAAGATGAGCCACACTGGACACCTCGGGGTACCGAGCTTTTCAGAGCAGGAGTTGGAAGCAGGAGGAGAAGGGCTGTGAACAGGCAAGCGTGAAACTTCACATACAGTCTGTGTCCGCCTTAGGCTGTTCTGAGATTTTTTAAGTTTATTTTTTTTTAATGTAAAAGGAATTGTACATAGGAACAATTACGTATATTATAAAATGGACAAGCTTGGCCTCAGATGTTACTGACAACAATTGCAAAGCCTGTCATTTTCACATAGCAATGGTGTTTTTGTTGCAGATTGATGTCCTCAAGGCAGACGTGGAGAGCGCTGAGTGGAAAATTTTGGAAAACCTGATCCTGGAAGATGTTGTTGAGCAGATAGGACAGCTGGTCTTTGAGATGCACATCCATTGGCCTGGGTTTGAGGTCAGCGGCAATGACAGCACCGTGGTGCGGTACTGGTACAGTCTGCTCCGAGAACTGGAGCTGAAGGACTTCAGGCTTTTCCATACCTACAAAGACTTATCAAAACCACAGATGTTTCTGAAAAAGGAAGCCTTCAATGCCAGTAGCTGTTACACACTGAGCTGGGTAAATACAAGATGGAAATAGCAGAAAGGAAATTATGATGTGTGACTGCAAGCCATCTGGCTCTGTGGTGTTATTGAAGAGGACTTTAGCGTCACTGGCTAAAGTTACTAAATATGCATACAGTGACTGCTAACAAAATGGACTGGCTTTTATTTTTATATGTTGTCAAAAGAACTGGCACTAGGAGAAGATCCATGGTGCAAATTTGTATAGCAGTATATTTGCCAGTGGGTACACTGTCTAACAGGACAGAGGTTTCTGTAAAGGTTTGTCTAGGGGGGCTAACAGCACGGCATTCCCAGGCTGCCCAGTGCCGGAGTGTGCCGGCGTGGAGGGTATCCCTCTGGGGCTGCCTCGGGAAGCTGTACTGGCCCTCAGGCAGGAGAGTGCTTGTGAGAGGGTGCCTTTGTCAGGACGGGTCAAGTGTTACTTCTCTGTACAGCAAGTGTCTTTGATTTGCACCTTCTTTACTTTGGCCTTGTTTCCTATGGAACAAATTTTAGGCAAGAGCAGTATGGCCCTGAACTCACTGACAAATTTTAGCTGAATTTGGCAGAGGCAGAAATCGCCATCAAACTACATTCCTACCTGTTTGGTTGAGCAGCTTCTGAGTGCTCTGACTTTGGCTCTTTAAGGCAGTCTGGCTGTGGGAAGCGAGTTCAGCGCTTCTGACACAGGAGATGGTGGGACAGAGAGGCTCAGCTGCTGGGACAGATGCCGCCAGCGCTCCCCTTCCTCACCCCCTGGAGCCACAGAAGACAGGGCTTCCCTAGTTCATCTGCTTAAAGAAAGGCTTGTTTTAAATTACTCTTGCAATGGCTGTGGCAAATGGTTTTTTGTCTAGCGAGATAAGAGCTGAACATGAAACCTAGTCTTGGTTTTTTGTTTGTTTGGGGGTTTAGTTGAAGGTTTTGCTGTGTGCCTTCTCCAGCGTTGTGCCTGGACACCTGCTACCTCCTCACCACCTCCCTGTCCCGGCCGCTGCTCCCTGACGCAAGGAGGCCAGACCCTGGTCTGCGCCGATGCTGGCAGAGGTGGTGGCACAGGCAGGGGGCCCGCTCCGTGGCTGTGCCGGGGCTCTGCCGGCTGGCACGTGGGTTGTCTGCAGTGCCCTCCCCAGAGCCAGGCTTGGCCATTCCCCGAGGAGCTAAGGAGTGGGAGGAGGTAAAAAATATATAGTAGGTCATGCTTTTTCTTCTCTTTAAAAGAATTTTGACATTAAACTTTGCATTAAAATACAAGATGACACCTCTTCCATGTCTTTGATATACGGCCTTTGTATGTGCCTTTGGTTTCCAACTTCTGCGGGGCTCAGTGTCCTCCCCTGGGTGTGCCTCAGCCCAGCGTTGTGTTTTTAACAAGTCTCTCTCTTTTCTCCCCATGTTGTTTCTTCTCTTGTAATCCTGGCATTTCCTTCTCTCCTTTCATACCCTCCTTTCCTTTTTCACCCTCTCTGCTGCCTCAGCTCCCTCATCCCCTCCTTCCCAGAGCAGGGCCCTGCACTGCACCCAACATGCCCACAGGATCTCAGGAAGCAGCCAGAGGTGGGAAAAGCAAGTGTAGGAGCTCTTCCTTCCAGGCAGGTGAGTCAGCTTTCTCCCAGAGTCATGCCTCACCAGTGGAGCAAGCGATTCCCCTCACCTTCCCCAGGCTTCGCCCCAAGCCAGGCATCTGCTCTCCTCCCCTCCCACCTCTCTGAGGGCTCCCGCTGCCTCAGGGTGGGCAGGGACTGCTCTCCCCAGCAGAAGCTGCTTCAGCCCTTCGGCTTGGCTCCCTTTCTCCCAGAAGAGGCGAGCAGGCGGGTGACCCTGCTGGGGTGACAGCCTTCCTCCCACCACTTGTGCTCCGGGGCTGTGGGGAGCAGCCTGCCCTGGCACCCACACCTGTAGAGCCCATTGTGGGGCTTGAAACTGCTGCAGTGAATCCGACTTTGAGCATCCGTGTTGGCCACAGAGGCCACAGATCGCGGGCTGCTTTGGGAGATGCGGAAAAAAAACCTTCCCTGCTTTAGTGGTGAAGGACTAGGGTGGTGAGGGGCTGGTGGAAATGGAGGAGATTTTAATCTCTTTGGTGAAAGCCAGCTCTGTAGCCTCATGTGTTCAGGTTTACATCAGTCTTCCCAATCACATTTGAAATTTTAACTTGTGGCTAAATGTCAAACCCTTTCTTTTGTAACAAATGCAGGCTGGTTTTCAATCTACTGCCTTTCAGCGGTGCTAACAGTGCCTTGTGTTGTACGGGTTCTCTGATTTACTGTGTCCCCGTCGTTATTTTCCTTTTAAAAAGAAATCCATCTACTTCTTTAGTTACACTAGGATTTGCTGAAGTGGAGTTTATTTCTACAGGGACTTAACATGGGCTTCTGCACATCAAACGCCTCGTTTAGGGAAGGAGGAGGACAGTGCAGCCAGACTGGGACTACTGACCAGGTGATGATCCCAGCTATGGCTGTGCTAGTAAATAAAGCAGTGGCAGGCAGCGTGCACAGGAATGGCAATCATCTGGTTAATTAATGGGATCCCTGGCACAATTTTGGCTCAGGCCAGCTAGGACTCTCCCAGGTGATTCCTAGGCCATGGAGTTAGCCCAAGCCAAGGACAGCTTGGATGCAGCCACCTTGTTTGGGAAGCTGAAGGAGTTTAGTAAATGGACATGGCCAGGCCATCTTTGCCAGTTTACCTCAGGGCTGGGGAGTACCTCCTGGTTGTTTTCTGGAATAATTTGACAAGAGCAAGTGCTGGATTCTCCACCTGGGACAGGATTATCCTGCTTATACATACAAACTAGGGGAACAAGAGGCTGGAGAGCAGTCCCGTGGAAAGAGCTCTGGGGGTTTCGGGTTGATGAGAAGTTGAATATGAGTCAACAGCGTGCCTAGGTAGCCCAAAGGTCCAACGATGTCCTGGGGTGCATCAAGCACAGCATCGCTGGCCGGTTGAGGGGGGGTGGCTGTCCCACTCTGCACTGCACTGGTGCAACCTCGCCTTGAGTGCTGGGTGCGGTTTTGGGCACCTCAATACAAGAAGGACATCAAACCATTCGAGGGTGCCAGAGGAGGGCGACCAAGATGGTGAAAGGTCTCAAGGGCAAGACTTACGAGGGGCTTGTTGAGCTTGGAGAAGAGAAGGCTGAGGGGTGACCTCATCACAGTCTATAACTTCCTCAAGGGGGGCAGTGGAGGGGCAGGTACTGATCTCCTCTCTCTGGTGACCAGCGGTAGGACATGAGGAAAGGGAATGAAGCTGTGTCAGGGGAAGTTCAGATCGGACATTAGGAAAAGGTTCTTCACTGAGAGGGTGATCAGTCACTGGAACAAGGTCCCCAGGGACATGGTCACAGCACCAAGCTCTCAGGTTCAAGGAGCATCAGGATGAAGCTTCTACTTATATGGCTTAGTTTTAGGTAGTCCTGCGAGGAGCAGGGAGTTGGACTCGATGATCCTTATTGGGTCCATTCCAACTTGAGATATTCTATGAAAATGTAGCTTCTGTTTCTGCTCTGGCACATCCCCCCTGGACCGGGGAGCAAGGGGCTTTGCAGCCACCCAGAGCAGGGCGCTGTGGGGGCCCACCATGTCCTCCACTCTGCAGTGCTCAAAATCAAGATGACCTGTTACAGATGTTTTGGAGTCCCTGTGTCCAAGATGTTGGACAAAGCGCTTTCCTCGGGGCCAAGCTCCATATTACCACCCCTGAGCCAGGTAACACACAACCCAAGAGATCCACGACCTCTGAAAGTGAGTAGGAAATGCCTTCTCTACGACAGCCATGCTTGCTGCAACCCTCGTACATTAAGTACTGAGGTTCTTTAATGATGCAGGGCCATGAGGAGATTCATTAAAATGCGAGAGGGCGCCAGGATTTCCTAAACCAATATTTAGGTTGTTGGAATGATCACACTTGCTGCACTGCAGAATGGCTCAACTCCTGTTTTTCAAATAATGAGGGTGGCAAAAGCCCAATTGCAACTCCTGATTTATTAATAAAGCATAAAAATATGGGCGCTAGCACTGCACAAGTTTTTCCTCCTGATTAGTCTTAAGAGTAACTAGCCTAGTAGTTTATTACCATTTGTTTAAGAAACCAATAGATAGAGGTTAAAAAATAAATTATGTGATCTTGCTCAGATGTTAAAATTCAAAAGGAATGCGGATCTTCCGTCATTTATTGCCCTGAAGAAAAAAATGGTGATGTATATGTAAATTATAGAAACGGAGTAGCGGTGCATCCTGGTTCTTTGGTTAAGAGTTTATTAAACCCTCAGCTAATCTCTTGCTCAGGAATGTCAGGTAGTGTCAGGAACGATTCAGGCTGTAGCAAATACACCTGCAAGAAAAGATTCCAATAACTATGGTAATTTTTAAGGAAACCTTATCTCAGATACAGGATAGATAAAAGCCATTTGTCATTCTGGAGGCATTTATGTGATATTACGGGAGAAAATGAACAGCTCTTATTTTATGCACTATCTATGCCTTTCTCTTTTGTATCTCTTAAAGAAGAGTTACAGCCTTCCTTTCTGAGGTCTTGCTTTTGTGCCCTTACCCCTTCTCTTTTATTGATCTCTTTTACCTAAAGGAGAAACTCTTAAATTAACGACTGAGCTCCTGGGTAGGTGCACATCGGCACAAGCCAGCACTGGCTGACTGCCCCAGCGGACAGGCTGGGCTGAGGGACGCTGCCCGGGGTAAGTCGGTGCCCACCCCCTGCCTGCTGCAGGGTCCCAGCTGTACACCCTGCCTGAGCTCACCTAACAAACACCTTCGGGACTGCGCTGAGAGGGGACGGCAGGGATCTGAGACTGCTGGCATCCACAGCCAGAGCTGAAGAGCCACCGGCCAGCTCCCCCCACAGATTTACTGCTACCTGCTGGCTCTTGACCACGATACCAGCTGCCTTGGGGACATCCACAGATGTTTGGCACCCATGTTTCAGCCTGCCTTGCTCCTTGGGATGGGTCCTTGCAGGGAGCGTTGCACTGCCCAGGAGCAGCTCTGGAGGAGAGCAGACTGTTGGAGAGGTGGCAGAGCAGGTGAGGAGCTTGTTGAGATCATCTCCCTGCACCAAGCCCTGCAGTAACTGCATGCCAGTGTTGTACTCCGCCTCTCGTCCCAGATCAGACCTGTGCAGAAACCGTGATAGCTGCCCCCTTCTTCGAAGGCTAAAAGCACA